AATATTAGCATAAAATAAGGATTTTATAATATTTGCAATAGCTAGGGTTGTTAATGGGTTGGGTTGGTTTGGGTTGATCCAATCTTCAACCTACTCCATTAAATTAAACTTACTCTAATATTTTGCTTCAGGTTGCTTCAGATTGCTCCAAATTTAAAAACATATTTTTAATCACACTTCAACTTGGGTTGGGTTCTACTCCGGAATGCTCCGGATTAAGCTACTCCATTAACAACCCTAGCAATAACCTATAAATAGTTTATTATTATATTTTTTTTAACACTAGGAAAACTGTTGTAAGTCCGGATCGTAACATCCAATCAAATGTATTGATTTTATTAATTAATCACGTGGTCAAACAAGGATCTGTCAATTTTGCCAATGATATTCCTGAAAATGTAAGTCCTCCGCTACGCTCTGAACAATAAAGTAATACCACAAAGTATATTGTCATAAAAACAAATGGAATTATGATGTTGACTTTAAACATTTGTAACTGATCTTTAGAGTGATGCTAGATTCGCAATTTAGATGGCTTAAAATTCAATAGCTGACTTTTGGTAAAGCACGCTAACTGACTTTTAATAAATATTTTTAGTTTATCTATTAGAAAATAAGAATACACAGTATTAAATCTAATTATAAATGTGCAAGCGTAAGCAAGCAAGCATATTAAATAAAATTAAGATGCGATTGTTATAAGCTAAAAGAAACAAAACGGTTAATAACTAAAGAATCAATGATTGGTAAATCAATATTATATAAGAATGCTATCTTCATTACCTACTGTTCATTACCTACTGTAGTTCTGATTAAAATGGGCTATAACTAAGTATATAGTATGTACCAATTTGACTCATTAATATACTTAGGAAGGAAATCAGAAACTTACTCGCATGTGGTTCCTTTATACCTTGCTTGAGAAATTACAATTCATAAATCACAAGGTTTAAAGTTACCACGAGCTGTTATAAATTTTAAAATTTGGAATTTGCAACTGACTGTAAATTTGTAGATACATCAAAGGTTCGTACACTTATGATTTCCTTTTCTTTAATACTTTTCTTTTAACAAATTACAAAACTTATAGCAAAATGCGAAGAACAATGAACAGAAATAGCCTTCTTTATGAATTATTATAAATTTAATTTTATCAATAATAGCAATTTATAAAATCTAAATACTATGGGCAAGTCTTAATAATTAGAGCACCGGTTCTCCAAAATGCTAGCTAGATAACTAGCCAGTTATTTCTACTCACTGGTACTATAATTTAGGAATTGAGGCCAAAATTGATAAGTAATGCATTTATGCATTGTCTGAAATAATCTGAAATAGATAATTCTGCAAAACTTTTACAACTGCTATTTTTACCATTACGGAATGAGTGTAGAAATGAATAAAATTGATTTTATTATTAATTGAAGGTAAGTCATGTTAATTTTTCATTACTGCATGTATATTCCAAAATTTAATCTTATCAATAATACAAAAAAACCATCTAGACTTGTAATGCATATCTAGTTATAAAGTTAAAACTGAGGTCAAGTTTTCTTCTAGCAGCTTTCATATATCATAGATAGACATTATAATATTATATGACCCCTTATAACATAAAAGATAAACTTAGTCCATTAATAAATACATAATTTTAGTACAATATACATAAATCTCTATCGTATCTTAAATAAAAAAAATATAAACTTAGTTAGTTATTACTGTTTTCGAAATGGTTGAAATCAGAGATAAAAAAAAGCTTTGCATATGTATACTTTGTATATTCGTATACTGGATTACCTAGGTACGTATGTAATATATGATTTGAATTGACAAATGATGTATATGCAATTGACAATTGTATATTCATAGTTAGCAATTGTATGATTGACAATTACACTTTGATCAATGTATATATGTATGTACATGCATACCTAGGTAGTCCAGTATACAGGTATACGCGAAACTTTTTACCTTCGATTTCATGTTGCTTTTGACTTTTCTTCTTTCTTGTTCACTCAACTGAATTTTATAGTTTCGTATTCCAAATTTACTTATTTTTATATATAGCTTCACTAGGTAAACTGTAATATAAAAGTTTGTGGATTCAAGTGGATTCAACCGATATTGTTAAAATACAGTACGAAACCTTCAAGATTGCTCAGTAGACTTATTCGCATTTCATAAGGAAGATATGCTACACAAGCCCTGTAAAAAAAGTTCTTTAAAGTACTGTATATAAATTACGACGTTAATCAATTGTACATATATTAGTCGGTCTAAGTAAATCGATATAAAAATTTGATGCGTACTGTATGTATAAATTTTTTTTTTGTGTATCAATTTAATTCATTATTAGAGTTAAACACAGTTAAACACTAGAAGAGTATATAGTAAAATTTCTCAAAGAATTTTTTTTATTAGAACGTAAAAGTTTGATTTGTTATCCTAATTTTTGAGAAATAAGCAATTTTAATAAAATAAAAATTTTCTTAATTAAAAGAGAAGGGTAATGCTACACTTAAAAAGTAATACGTACATGTTGATATAATACACATTCTTCTATTTGATAAACTTTTGTTTCGGTCTTGAGAGACATTAACTTTGACTTGAAAAAGAATAATTAATAAATGATATTGTAGACACCTAAAGAAGCTATATGACAATACAACATTTACATCTTGTTTTCTTTGATTCAAAAAATGTTGAATAATTTCTTTGTTGACTTCATCCTAACATAAAATATTTAAGTAAATTTGCAATAACAAGATAACATATTATCACAACTATATATAGACTGCAACCAACATTACACCATTAGAAAAGAAGCATGAAGCTTCTCCTCCTTGTTGCAGGATTAACATTACGCCTCTGTGATATTTCAAGATCTCACACAATAAGCTATCACGACTACATATAGACCACAACCAGTATTATACCATCAAAGAAGAAGCATGAAGCCTCTCCTCCTTGTTGCAGGATTAGCATTACGCCTCCATGATATTTAAAGAATTTCACCCGTGCTGTAGTACAACAGAAGGCCTCTTTGAGATTCTTATATTCTTATAACTCGAAAATTGTTACATCTTCCAACTATCCATTTATTTACCTTGAAACTTTCAAGTATAAATTGTGCTCTATTTCTTTTAACTTCGGAGAACAAATCTGACAACTCTATAGTATATAAACTCATTTGGTATCTATAATGTTCTTTATTCTTTGATTTTGTAAAATCATATTTTTTTGCGATATATAAGAAAGCCTATAAGTAACCATTCATTTGTGGGTGTTTGAATCATATAGCTGTCTATGAAAACTATATTGGTATTGAGAATAAAATACGTGAGAGTGAAGAAGCAGGGGAACTTTCTTATTTTTCAGAAGTTTTTATGTGACAGTCAAAACAAGTATGGTGGAGAACTCCAAATTTGATAATAATCATCTCAATTGAATAAAAAAAATTTTATACGCGGTGGGTAATTACGAGTTTTAGATATTGATATTGATGATAATACTTACTGTAAGTATTGTATTTATTTTTTAATAAAACATACTATATACATCGGTATCAATATAATACATAATCTAAAACTCGTGATCACTCGCCACCCGCCATCCCGACAATAATTTGGAATAATGGTTCACGAATTTTGATAAAGTACTTTTATTCCCGTAATGATTTGAAACCTCACCAATCAAATCTATTAAAAAAAGTGACTAAAGTTGGGATCCGACTAAAGTTGGAACTTCAGTTGACTGAAGTTGCATCTGACTGAAATTAGCCCCTGAAATTAGATCATTCTGCACACATTAGTTAACTGTTTTAGGCAGGTGCCAACTTCAGTCAACTGAAGTTCCAATGCCAACTTCAGTCACGACATTAATATGGGGATCGTTCAACTAAAAGGGGGTTTATGGCTTTTAGAAAATCACGTTTTAAAATCTGAATTTGGCCACTAAAAATTTTATTGGTTGGGACCAAACTACCCCAATATCGCCTGAAAAATGTTGCAGTCACATGATGATCGACAGAAGATTAGCTAATAACGAATCATGATTTGGTGTAACGTAACACGATCAGGAAATTTCAAAACAAACGTTCGTTTTACCAAAAATCGCTTACAGTCAGACCTCTCTATAGTCACCTCCTCTATAGTCACATTTACTTATAATCACATAAATTTTTAAAACCAACTTATATAGCACTTATAAAATTTAACCTCTATATAAGCACAAACTCTCTATAAGCACCAAATTCTTAAAACCAAGGGTGTGATTATAGAGAGGTTCGACTGTATTTCTCACAAATTTACGTAAGAAACCACCTACTGCGCATTAACAAAAAGTTTTCCTTGCGCGATTTTGCTACTAGAACCCCTTATCTCTAACCCTAAAATAATTCTTACCCTAACATAAATGAACTTTAAAGAATTTTTCAAATATCATGTGACTGCACCATTTTCAGGCGATACTGAAGAAGATTTGTTCACATTGTATGTCACGAATTACGTGTGGCATAAATCATGTGACTTGCAAAGTTTACATTAATTCAATTATAAAAATATATATCTGCAAATTGTCCATAAGACCGTTTGCAGAGCTTGTTCTACACTTGACTGGTTTTATTTTAAATTATAAATATATCGTTTACACTAAAGTAAATAGTACCAGTACTAGAAATATTGTTATCAAAACTTGAAAAGTCGAAACATCATTTCTTTAAATACAAAAAGTCCTTTGCTATCATGAAAACTATATAGTTCCTAATAAATAATGAGATACGGTAAATAAAAAGAATGTAAATGCAATAATACCCTCCAAATACGTCAAAAAATAGTTAAACCCTCAAGTATTAGTTTCGTTTTACAATCACCTATCAAATAAAGTTCAAATTATAATACTAATATAAAAGGAAAAAAATAAATTCATTCGATAGATTTCGCACTTAAAAAATGAATTGAACTTTAAAAGTAAACAGACAAATATATCAATCTCAAATATTATCAACAATATATCTTTACTACAGAATCTGCACCACCACTTGCCATCCACGGCAAAGACCGATGATATTCAACACATAATACACCTTCATCAGATTTTCTCCGATGCGATACAAACTCTTGAACACATTGTCTTGTTGATACAATATCCCACAAACGAATAGAAGTATCATGACCTTTATAGAATTTATTAAAAATTGTTAGCAATAAATCTTAACGACATAATGCACAAATTTAAAACCAGTCATACCTCCCGAAATTAATATCATTCCTGATGGATCAATATCAAGCGTTGTGACTGAATCCAGATGAGCAAGCATTGAAAAATTGCATTTACCTGCAAGCAAATAAAAGACTAAATATATAATAACTTGACCTTTTTTTTTTTTTGATAAATTGATCACTGAATCTTACCACTGTTGATATCAAAGAATCTAATATATTTATCCTCATGTGCCGAAAATAATAGTGACATGGTAGGATGGACAATGATGCTATTAATTTGTGTAGCTGGAGTTTTATCGTATGTTTCATCACTATTAAATGTTACAACGCTTTGTCCCGTTTCAATGTCATAAAGCTTAATAATTGAATTTTGGAATGAAACGGCTATTTTCTTTAGATCGCTATGAACAAAGTCAATAGACGTAGGTATTGGCGGACGAACTAATATTATGTAAAGCGAACAATTATAAATTTTAAAATTTAAATTTAAAAAGAATTTTTTTTTTTTTTAAAGAAATAAAATAATGTACCTCCATTAACCGGTAGTTCACCGTCGTTTCCGTAATATCCCCACGAACTTTTTAGGGGTGATCCTTCGGCTTCCGTATTCCAAATTTTAACTGTTCCATCAGCCGATGCAGATGCCAAAAATTGTGTATTTAAGTTACAAATAGGGAATAATCTTAAATCCCATATAGCATCCGTATGACCAATGTAGGTAGTAAAGTTCAACGGTGAATCTATAAAATAAGAATTAAATTCAGATAAAAGAAATTTTCTATAGAAATATATCTATATGTATATAATTTAAAACTATAATTACCGATAGGTCCATAATTATCTCGTTTTTGTGGCGGCAGATTCCACACGCGAATTGTAGAGTCCATACTAGCCGAATAACATCTGTGCTGTTCTGAAGAAATAACAACTGAATTTACAGCCGCTGTATGACCTCTATACGTAATTGTCGGTTCAATATCAGGAACATCTGTAGGTCTAATTATGAATTAAATTTGTAAACAAGAGTGTTAGTAATATGAAAGTTTATTAAATATTAACAATTATTAATTATTCATACTTGAGAGAAATTGGGCCCTTTAAATTCCATAATTTCACAGTGCCATCTTCCGACCCAGACGCGAACATAAGTTCCGACTTATGCCATGAAATAGATCGAACAGTATCAAGATGGCTAAACAAAAAAAAAAAAAAAATACAAATAAAAATAAAAATAAATAAATAAATAAACATAAACATTAAGTAATATTTATATTAATTGTATAAATTACAAAATAATTAATTACCTTTTTAATGTGAATCGTTGCCTCCACATTTTTCTATCTGAACTATTGTCTTGCAATTTATCAACCTACAAGAGCCCGAACAAATAATAATCGAATAACAGTAAATTAAACTATAGAATTCGAGTATATAATTAGAGATTTTCGATGCAATATTTAGATTTTACAATACCTCTGATTTTTCTGTGTTATCTACTTCTTCAACCGATAAACTGAGTTCATCTAACTGAGGATCTGATGTATTAATTGCTATAAAAAAAAATTTAATAATAAATAAATATTGTTATTTTGAAAATGAAATATGAAAAAAAAATTATACACACGTAATATTCCTTGATTTTTTTTCGAAGAATTTTTCATTAATTTCGAAATTTTTTCATCTGACAGGTTAAATTTTTTCTGAACATCTTTTGTCTAAAACAACAGAACAAAATTCATAATATTTAAAAAAGTATTTTTTTTTAATGATGAATATTTTATATTTACAGATCACAACATACCAATTGATACTCTTCTTCTCTAAGTTCATCTGTACTTTTCGGAGGAAATGCAGTAGCTATATTTCTAGGTACAACTGGACTCGATATTTTCCAGGACCCATCTAATTTTGATTTGTTAAAAGCAGAAGTCCCAACATCTTTTTCAAAGTAACTTTCATCGTTTGTGTTTGTCTCTAATCCACCAATTCCATTACCCAAAGGAGTCGATTCACCAGGCGATATTATATTATTTCTTTGATAGTCAAATGATGGTTGGTCATCATCGGAAAATCTTCCGTCACTCTTATATAATTTACCAGCTGATCTAGGAAAGAATGAACCGTCATCGTTTTCAGGAGAAACTATTTCTAAACCTTCACGCGGAGGAAAAGAATGATCCAATGGTGGGCTTGAAGAATTTGTTGGTAATATGGGTAAAACAGTTGGTGGAGTTGTTGGAGCAGGCCTAGAAGGTTTTATTACAACATTGGCTAATCTTTTAGGAGGCACACCATTATTTGCAGGGGAATTGCCCCCAACCCATATTGCACTGTCTCTATGATTTTGCATTTGATTGATTGCATTATTTCCATTCAAACCAGTTGGATGGCTTAGAAGTCGATTGCTAATAGGAAGGTTACTAGTCGCAGCATTTGTAAGGTAGTCAATTTCTTGTAAACATCTATAATTTGAAGAAATTAAAAAATTTTGTTGAATAATTATAATATAAAAAGTATAGTAAGAAAAAATAGGGATAACGTACGCTTTAAGAATTTCACGACTCTTGATGCGATAATTAGGATCCCGACTTGATAAAAGACTCTTTTGTTGAGAAGGTTGTGAAGATTGTTCGGAAGTTTGAGAAAACCCAGTAGTTGATTGAGAATTATTTTGTACTATTAACGAATTATATTGTAATAGGAAGTAAGGGGAGATAAAACGAGTTTAATTTGTGAATGCGAAGAGTAATGTTTGATAATAGCCAAATAAGAAAACTTACGAAAATTTGCAAATTCGCAACTTACGTCCTTCTTCGTTTGCAGTAGCTGATACAGTGGATGATTCCCTTGTTATAGGTTGTGTGGGGGATATGCCGGCCAAATATTTACTTCTATAACACAGGAAGTTTTTTTTTAATTAAGCGGCATTTCTTTGATCTATGAATGCTGCTATATCTTCGTACCTCTCCTGCCTTAGAGCAAATTCTAACATTTTCACACGCCTCATTAGATTTACTTTCATAGTTTCAATTCCACGACGTTCTCCTTCTAATAATGCGATGCGGGCCTTTTTATTCGAAAAATTTAGAATTTAAATTATAATAAGTTAAAATTTGTATTATTTTTTCAAACTGGTAAACTATTCTAGTTCACCAAACAAAATAAAATAAAAATAAAAGAGAATTCAAAACCAAAATAACAATAATAATAATAATCATAATAATCATAATAATAGTAAAGTAAGTATTTTTGCAAATTAAATTACCTTCATTTCGGCACGCTCAATCTCCCATTCATTCCTGTCTCGCTCGTAGCGCCTCCATTCTGATTGGAGAAAATGAAGAACGCCTGGTAAGGTATATTCTGGTATTTGAGACTGTTGCATTGGCTGCTGCTGGCTATAAGTTTGTGCCATTATATTCAACAATTATTCAGATAAATTGGGAATGTAACCGTAGATAGTTGTAAAATTTAGGTATCAAACTCAAAAAAAAATCAGAGATGTTTAAAAGATATGTTTTGGGTTTTGAGCTTCAAGAAAGTGGTTCGACCGTTAAAGAGCAAAAGCATCACTTCCACAAAAGTAGTCAGATACCAAAGCATCAAATGAAGAAAAGAAGGCCTTTAGATCTCCAACAAGCGCAGGCGACGATTGAAATTTGAATCGAAGGAAAACTTAATCGCACCTTTTAAAGTAATTTAAATCTGTGCGATGTTTGTTCACAGGAGTAGCAAAAAGCATCGTTTCTGAGAACACCCGCTTCTTTCCTGAGACTTTACTCGTGTAACCACGATTTACCCTGTAATAACCACCAAAATAAAATTACCCATGTAAATGTATATTTTTTTTTACCTAACATAGTATATGTCCTACGTATATACCACAAAATAAGCTACCCCTTTTTTCGATATTCAGTGATTGAATTCGAATACGTAGCCTTATGGAGACAATTTAAGAGCGCTTATTCTAAATAGATCTTAACTGTCATAGAGATATAGAATAGATAATACATAAATAGTATACGTATATAAAGTGGTACGGCATCTGGTACCAGTTACTTTTTTGTATTGTCGTTATAGCGATAGTTTTTTATATTTATTTTTTCATAAAAAAACTAGCAACTCAAACCAAAATTCAAAATTCAGCAGATCGACAAATGTTTGGCGTTAGATTCATGCTAGGCTGACATTAAGCAATCATGCCTGCCAACTATAATTGCAGACATTTAGGTCAAAGGTAGCTACGTACCTTTCACGTCACCTCACGTCATATAAAATTTAGACATAACGCCAATATGTCATCACTATCTACGTCATGCTATATGTTATTTGATATTCTAATGTTTGCAACTTATTACTGTTATTACTGTATTATATTGAAACTAAAAATGCAGTATATATGTTGTGACTAATGCTTGCCTCAGACCACAGCTGACTGCAGATCGTCAGGTGAGGTGCGTAACCCATCGATGGGTCAATAAAAATTTATGTGTATAGAACAAGTTTGTGTCTTTTTCCATACTAAATATATTAATTAATTATGCATATTAATGGGTTTTATTCAACAAGATTTGAACATAACTATTAACTGTATTTACTTTTCAACAAAATGTCCAATTTCGTGCCTAACATACGGATCAACTTTAATTTTTAAGTTTTGGATACGAAGATCGGACTCGATTACATCGAACTCAAGATTAATATCTAATATATTCTGAAAACAATTATTACGTAAAACTTCAATCTTTTTTAAAAAATAAATTAACATCTGCATTGTACCTCCAGTGGATGACATTTTCACATGATTGGTAACGTGAGTAAAATGAACTTTAGTATATGATCTTAGTTGTGCTATTTGGTTAATAGCTTGATCGATATTATGATCAACACTTTTACAAGGTTTAGCCGATAAAAGAGATTGATCATTGACGTTGATCAGATGTTCACTGTTAAAAAAAAAAAAAATTTGACAACTTTAGAAATGAAAAAAAATAAATATTTGTTGTTTAAACAATCTTTTAAGATAGATACATACATAAAATTTGTGTTGGTTGAGGCACATTGTATTTTGGCGTACTTGGATGAGTCGATCTTCTAAGCTATTAATTTCTTGTAATTGAGTAAGGGTTATTACAGCTAAGACGCGTAAGAGAATGGGTATTATTAATAAGCTACCCAATCAGATTTCTGATTGTCGATCTTTATGAGACACGTAAACAAATATCATATGATTTATATTATACAGTTTGATTGGTTGATGATGATCAGTGTGTAACGTAAGAATCAAAACAATTTAAATTGAGCGTCTTCAAGCTGAAAAAGTACACCACTACAACAACGATAACAGCACAAACAACAGGAGAAGGTGAAGAAGGTCAAGAAGGTTAACAACGTCCAAACTTTACGTGGAAACGGGAACACCACTACAACAACAATAGTAGCATAAACAACAGGAGAAGGTCGACAACGTTTAAACTTTATGTGGAAACGGGAACACCACTACAACAACAATAACAGCACAAACAACGGAAGAAGGTCGCCAACGTTCAAACTTTATGTGGAAACGGGAACACCACTACAACAACAATAACAGCACAAACAACGGAAGAAGTCAAGAAAGTCAACAACGTCCAAATTTTATCTTAGCAATGGGTGCGTATAGTTACACGTTTTTGTTTTCGCGCTTAGTTCGTCTTGTAGTCCTTTATGATATCCGGGTTTTTTCTCTCACCCAAGGAAGGTCTACTGGTTCTGCAAGAGGAACCGGTTACGTCCCATCTTTTGGGTAAAGGCTCGTGAAGTAGAGGATATAAGAGTGCTATAGTGTAAGAAAAAGCTTCGTAGAGGAATCTTTATAAATCCATATGAAGAATCTTCTACGAAGAACAACCAGCTTTTGCACGGGAGAGGCAAAAGAAAAAGGTTGGAATATGATTGGGGGGTGCTATCAATGCGCCTTACTGTTTTTTTTTAAAAAAATAATGGTACGGTTTTATTTTTTGTTATATTTTAGCGTTGTTAACTTTCCCCATGAGTATTTTCCCAACCAACGAGATACACCTCTGCGTGGTGGTTGGGATGAGTAGGAGAGATAATCTCCGAAACTAAGTATCTCGAAAATTTAATTTATAGTTAAAAACTTTTGTATTATTTAATAAAGTTATTTAATAAAGCTATTTAATAAAATTGTTTAATAAAGCTATTTAATAAAATTGTTTAATAAAGCTATTTAATAAAATTGTTTAATAAAATTATTATCTAATAAAGTTATAAAATTATTTAATAAAGTATATAAGGCTATAGTTATAAAATTATTTAATAAAAGTATATAAGGCTATACAAACTTATCTTTTCGGTTTTTCATATTTCGGCCGGGTTAGCAAAGCGGAAATTCAAAAATTTTTATTTTTTTTTAATAATCTATTTATTAATAAAAATCCTCTATGCATATTATGTAACAAAAATAAAAGTTGAATTGTTGAGTTCTTGCGAAATAGTTACAGTTGCGTTGATCTGTCTAAATGCTAATTAGCGATATATTGCATAATGCGTAATTGAAAGAGCATAGCGGGCTTTCATTGTAATTGGCTGATTTTTGTAGATCATCCCGTGATATTGCAAAAATATCATTGGTTAAT